GACTGCTCTGTTTTCCCTGGGATCCTCTGGCACTGGGAGGTGACAGCAGCCATGGGATGGAGCAGGAGAATCCAGGACATGCCATAAACCCATCAGTGCCTGGTGGGATGCAGCTCCCACAGACCCTTTCCTCCCTCAGCCCCAGCTGGCAGTGCCCTGCAGAAAGAGGGGATGGAAATCCTCAAACCAAACAGGAAGACCATGATGGAGTCACAACTGGATTTAATTAACCCCATTAATTGCTGTTAATTGTCAAGAAATTCGATTTCCATCAAGCTGTTTATACCTCCAAGATTTCGTACATGATCCATCCATCCCCTAGGGAGATAAATTCTCTGCTGCTGTTCCACATTGGAACACCGAGAATCACAAGCAGTAAAGGACAAAGTGTCCAGGGCCAGGCTGGAAGGGACTTGGAGCAACCTGGGATAGGAGAAGGTGTCCCTGCCTGTGGTAGGGGTGGGACTGGATGAGCTTTGAGGTCCTTTCCAACCCCAAAGAGTCTGGGATTTTGGGATTTAACAGCTGTTTTCTGCTTTGGCTCAGGGCCCCGTTGCTGCCATCAGCCATGTCTAATCCAGTGTCACCCCTGGCAGGAATGTGGGGGCTCCAGGGTGGCTCTGGGCCAGCTGGGCACCACAGCTCAGCCCCTCTCAGGGGTTAAATCCCAGCAGCTGAAAACCTCGCCCCGGGTTTTGAGGGCTGATGTTTCTCTGCTGTTGACAGAGAAGATTACCTGGTGATTTTGCAGGAATAACCCCAGGCTGTTGCTGGGAAAGGGAGGAGCAGAGGGAAGAATGCAGCGGGGTGAGTGTGACCCGAAGCCACTGCAGGTCCTGTGCCCTCAGCCCTGGCCAGGTCACAGGGCTGGGCTTGGACTGAAGATGACCCAACCAAGCTGGGCTTTATTCCTGTCTTTTCCCTTTTCCCCCACCCCATACCCCATCCCAAGCCACAGGCAGATTTTCTTCAGGATAAAGAACCCAAGAGGAGAATCATAAAACCAGAGAATCAATAAGGTTGGAAAGTATCAGTGGGGAGTTTTTGTTTTATTTTCTTTTTGTTTTCTTTTTGTTTTTAGTTTTTTGTTGTTTGTTTGGTATTTTTGTTGTTTGGTTTTTGGTTTTGTTTTGGTTTGTTTTTTGGGGTTTTTTTTAGTTAGAGTTGGGATTGTGTGTATGAGAGACGATGTTTTGTGTTTGGACTTGGTTGTTTATTAATTCTTATCTGCAGTACAGAGAAAATCAATCCTACAGCACCTCTAGCTAACAAGCTAAAAGTGAGAAAATGTTGGTGGATCTCACTGGTTACAAGGTCTTTTAAGGCCCAACTGTTCAATTAAAAACTAACACCTATATTATTTGTACTTTTGACTCAATGAATGAACACCCATGACCTGCAGTGCAGCACTTTTTATTTAACCAAAAAATATTACTTAAAACTAAGAAGAAGAAGGAGGAAGAAGAAGGAGAAGAAGGAAGAAGAGTCACTGCCTTAGAAACTCCATCTTGTCCCATACCTATTACTGTATTCTAAAACTCTAAATTCCAAACAATTTATTATAAATTAAAAAAAAATAAAAAATTCCAAACCTATGTGATGTTACACACTTCTCAAACTGCACACCAGTGATTTTAACTCCATCACTCAATTTTGGAAGCTTTCTCCAAGCCCTCAAGTTAAAAGCAGAGATCTTTTGGGGGTCAGTGTCAGAAAACAAAGAAAATTCAAAACTCCCAGGTTTCAAGGTTCCAACAGGAGAAGATCTCCAGGATCACCCATTTCCATGTCCCCCAGAGCTCCCCGGTGTTCCTGTGGGTGGGAGGTGACCAAGGGACCTTCCTGCCCCTGTCCCAAGGTTTCTGCAGGGTGGTTTTGGCCCCCAGCTCTTCCCCAGGAAGAGCTCTGCCCACCCCAGCACGTCCTGGGCCATGGCAC